ACAAACAAAAATTATAACTTTGACTTCAAAAATTAATTGTTGACTTACTGATATAAGCAATATCAATTGGCCCCCCATGTCAACCAATTTAATCGGATTTTGGTAACAAATTTGATTGGATTTTCATAACAAAACTCGGATTTTGGTAACAAATTTGATCTTATTTTGATGACAAATCTCGGATTTTGTTAACAAATTTGATCTAATTGTGATAACAAATTTCGGATTTTGATAACAAATCTTTTAAGATATCGGATTTTTTGGGTAAAACACTTCATAGTTATTTAAACACAATATATTGCCGATAATCTTTGAGATATTTTTTTGGTAACAAATTTCACAATTTTTTCGATTGTTTGGAGTTAAATATTGTAGAAAAAATCTCGTGATTTGATAAATGATACATATCAAACTAAAAATATTATTTTTCAATCAATTCAAAAAGTCTTACCAAATTAAATTGTAACAAACTCCATTAATTTTGGTAAACATTATGTCACATTGATATGACACATAATCTTCAAAATAAAATTTTAATTGTTGACTTACTAATATAAGCAATATCAATGGGTCCCACATGTCAACAAATTTAATCAGAATTTGGTAACAAATTTGATCGAATTTTGATAACAAATCTCGAATTTTGATAACAAATTTGATTTTATTTTGATAACAAATCTCGGATTTTGTTAACAAATTTGATCTGATTGTGATAACAAATCTCTAATTTTGATAACAAATTTTTTTAAATATCGATGTTTTTTGTAACACACTTCATAGTTATTTATACACAATATATTGCCGATAATCATTGGAATTTCTTTTGGTAACAAATTTCACAATTTTTTCGGATTGTTTGAAGTTAAATATTGCAGAAAAAATCTCAAGATTTGATAATTGATACATATCAAAATAAAAATATTATTTTGCAATCAATCCAAAAGGCTTACGAAATTAAATTGTAACAAACTCCATTAAGTTTTAGTAAACATTATGTCACATTGATATGACACATAATCTTCAAAATAAAAATTAATTGTTGACTTATTATTATAAGTAATATCAATTTAATCGAATTTTTAATAAACTTAAGGACCTAATTAACAAATAATTTGGATCAAAATTATTTATGAGTGGAGTCCCCAAAAGTCGTAATAAATGCAAGGGGGTCTTTTAGAATTCTTCATTAAGTTATAAGAAGAATGAAACCGTTCCCCACGACTCTTCATCAGTTTATCAGTTTTTTTATCTTCGTATGTCATAAGAAAAGAGTTACCGGGTTCACGGCTTTTTGGAAGAACTCTAAATCTCAAATCCAAAATCCCAATTCAATTTCAGTGCACTCAATCGATATGTAATTTATTATTAGTTACGTGCACCGTACGAGTTGTGTACTAATTTTAAATAAACATGATTTATGTAATTTTACACAATTTAGATTTTATATAATATTTTCAATAAATTAATATAGGTAAATTGTATTACATATTCATTTCATATTTTTAATTTATAAATATTATTTAATAAAAAAATTTTAATTTATATATATTAATAAATATCTCTTACTCGTGCATTGCACGAGATTCATAGTAGTTGAGTTGACGAAAGTTTAAGGAAAACATCAATATTAGTCCCATAATAACTATAGAGGTGTTCCACTAGTAGTTCCATTAAATATGAAAAATAGCAGAATTGCAACTTTTAAAATTTATCAAAACATGGAAAATTTTTGCCAGAATATCACGTGTGTCGCAAGAAATGAGACGTCACATCCAACGTGTCATGTTAGTTAACACATTACATCCACGTCGCTTTTAAAGAATTTCAAGATTAATCACGGAAATTTGAAGACGTTTCAAAAGTAGTTCAAATATAATTCAATTAATCAATAAATGCCTCGTAAGTTTTAAAATATTATGAATTTGATGATAGTTTTGGTTGAAAATATAAATTTTTTTTTTATTTTATGAAAAATAACACGTCATACAATAAATTGAAGATAATTGAAGGAGAGAAAATTATCCATCTAAGCCCCGCAAGTACAAGTACTACAAAAATTCAAATCGTTATAAAAGCCCGAACAATAAGAAATATTATAGGAGTTCTATTAATTTGGATACCTAAAGTCTAAAGATTAGTGAAAGACAAGTACTAAAAATTTAGTACTTGAAAGATAAACAATTATCACTTTCAGACCTTACTTTCTATCAATCTACAACTCAAAAGATGAGATAACTAATAATTCGAGACTTAGAAAAATAAAATCCTAAGAGCATCTTCAATGGAATGTCAACTGTAGAATTGTAGAGACATTGAGAAAAAAAAGGTGTCCAACAGTGAGTTGTTTTACTTCTCTATGTGATGATCTGGCATGAGAGAGACGCAAAACTTCCAACGTCTTTCTACATATGAAAGGTCTTCTAGACTGAATATTTTTTTTGTATCGTAATGAAAAAATACCTGATGAATATCACCTTAATTAATAAAAAATACGCCTATGAAAGGTCTTCTAGACTGAATATTTTATTTGTGTCGTAATGAAAAAATACCTGATGAATATCACCTTAATTAATAAAAAATACGCCTTCTAAACTTGATGATTACATATAAGTAGGTAGATGCGCCTGATACAAAATACATAACATACCTGATAAAAAATAACTGATGAATATCATTAGACTTTATGAGTCATTTTTTTTTGTCATAGTTATATTTTTTTATTTTTAATTAAAATATTTAAGTAGATGAAGATACTATACGAAAAATACATGATACAAAAGACATTTACGATTGGAGAGTTACTTATGAACAAAACACTTTTAAAATTATATTACAAATTTAATGGTATATATTGTGTTAAAATTATACATTAACATATATATAATAAAGGATACTCTTAAAAAAAATACGGATACAAAAATACCTAATGACTATCAGTTTGGATGGTGGGTGGTAGCTCTTCCAAAAATAAATATTAGAATAAAGGACTCTTAGAAAAAAATACCGATATAAAAATAACTAGTACAATACCCGTGTAATACACGGGTATTGAATTAGGAAGCATATGTAAAAAAATATTATTTTTTTTAAAGTACAAAAAATTTAATTTTATATATAACATTACTTTGGGTTTTAATTAAATTGCCAAATTATATTTTTTTATACATAATAATTAAACACCCGTATATTAAACAAAAATATCAACTCATATTGAATTTTTGTACTTATATCATATAAAATTATCGATATTATTTACTAATATTAAGTAAAAAAATGTTTATCTTAAATAAATAGAAATAATATGGTGTTATGTATATGCATAAGTGCAGAATATGTTTGTTTAAACTTAATTAGATGCCTAATAAATCAAGTATCGTATCTATCGTTTTTCACAGTTTTCTAAATTTATATGTAATTTTAGAATTTAGATAAATAATTATTTATTTTTATTAGATTGATAACATACCAATTAGATTTGAAATAAATATCATTTTTAAAAGAATACATACCAATTTTTATTACTTTATAATATAATTTATAGTTTTATTTGATATCTTTTAATTTAGTTTGATAAATAAACTTAAATTTATTACTTTATAATATAATTTATAGTTTTATTTGATATCTTTTAATTTAGTTTGATAAATAACCTTAAATTTTATTTATAAAAATATATATTACCATTTTGTAAATATATATATATATAATATGAATGTCAAATCGAAAATCGTCAAAAGATAGTTAATTTGATATATCATATATAAAAATAAAATACAAAAAAAAAAGTTATAAAATCTTAAAATAAGAAGAAGAAACATTTATAATAACTAATGAATAAATTAAATAAAAAATTGAAATGCAATGTATGATAATGTAGGAAATAGAAATATAAAATAATTTATGGTAACTAATTGTGGAAGTAAAGAAAAAAAATCAATTATGGATTTAGAGTGAAAGTTTGTCACGTAGGCTCAACCTATTCTGAAATTATATATAGAGGGGATATCGAGAATAAAGGATACTCTTAAAAAATATTGATACAAAAATAATATCAGTTTGGATGGTTGGTGGTCGATCTTCAAATAATTAATATCAGTTTAGATGGTGGGTGGTCAATCTTCAAATAATTAATATTAGCGTTGATTCGAAATTATGATTCAGTACAAGTATAATTTATAGTATTTTGGTAGGCATTTTTTAGAACAACAAAAGAAAAAAAAAAACACACACACACACAAACCGACATTTACCACTGGAGAGTTAATTAAAAATATGCCCTTCTATTCAATCCATTGGAGATGCTTTAATGATTTGAAATCTGTAATACCTAAAATTATCAATTTATGAGTACAAAGATTAATTCCAACGATACTCTTATTAATAGGTGATGACATTACCATCATGAAAATAAATAAAAACACCCGAATATAAATAAAAACTAATGAATAGACGGAAAAATATAGTTAAATTTATGCTCTAATTATGTCTTTATTTTCATGCGTGATCAAGATAAAATTTAACTTTTTATCATCTCTCTTTTTTATTTAAATTCAAATATTTTTTATTTATGAACTTTTATAATTTATTAATTGATGTGTAGTAAAAAATATATTCATTTTTTCATATTTTTATTATAATATTTTTAATTTATTTTCTCCATAAATAAGTTTTGATTCTTAATTTGATAGTATTAGATATTACGAGTCCTTAATCGATAGATGTTGTTTTTAAGACACATAATTAATAGTCGGCTATCTTTTGGGATCCCTAATATTAATATGGGTAAGACGATAAAACTCAAAAAAATTTGCATCTGTTCCTTCAATTGAAATAAATCCAAGATACAGAACAGGAAAACAAGCTAAAAGTATCCTCCTCTTGACATGATAAATAAATGAATCAATTGAACCAAACCCAAATAATAAATTCATATTACACAAACTGGAAAGTCAATTGAAATTTTGACAATTCAACATCTCCTTGTGCCCTAAACTGATTTCTCAAAACATCATTGAGAAAACTTTACCTTCTCTTTCCAAACCTATTACCACCAATACAAACCCTACCACCTACTATGACACACAAACACATAACAATAATCTGTACAAATTTACAGTGAACTATATCATATATGCATACTTACATATTTCATTTATGCATGTACCTCACTGGAGGTTGATGCAGCCAGGAGTGCCACCCCAATGCCTGACCCATCCTCAGTCACCTTCATTACAACACGAGCTGCCACGTCATCACCTAGTATGTCTCCCAAAGCCTCGTTCAGATATTCCCTGAACATGGTATAGTTGGAGTACAGGTCACCTTCTACCGCCACTACTGTCCTCGTCATCTTGCCCTGAATCTTGGATTTGCCGCCCAAATACCCATCTCGGCCTATCTTCTTCAGTATGCCCACTATGCCTGCGGCTGCCAGCCTGGCAGCCCTGCGTGTCACCACATCACAAATCTTCACCACGAGTTTCCGAACGTTGAGGGGAGCATCGTTTATAATAATAATAATAATAATAATAATAATAATAATAATAATAATAATAATAATAATAATAAACCCTTCGCGTGGATGTTTATGGCAATAATTATTAAGGAAATTGGAGAAAATATATAAAAAATTCCAAACCTCGAGAGTGTCTTGTAATAATCTGGCGACCTCTATCAAGTCGGGGGAATCGTCCTCGTGCATGGAAGCAATCATAGGTGTCCTGCTATGTTTAAAAGTGATCAGATCAAACTAACTCAATGAATAAATATAATTGAGAATTATTTGGTTAGAATGTCAATCAAGCAGCGTTGCGCTTGAAATAATTACGCAATGTGCCACTAGAAATGTCAATACAGACTGGACAAATAATGCTTACACTAAGAATGAGAAAACTACCTCAAGATGAAAGGAATATGTATTTTGGAAGAGACGGATCCAAAAACATCCGATTCTTGAGACATCCGAAGAATTACTCTTCTCACGATGTCTCCTAGATACATTCCAGATATCACTTTCTCAAAAATCTGCAGCATGAATCAAATCAGTAATCCTCCAGAAAGAACTAAACAAACCAGATATTTAGATGACCAGATGTTAAATTAAGAAAAATGGCAGAACTTAAAACTCGCCTGAACATTAGGGTTAGGACTATCAGCATCCAAATCAACATCGTACGACGTCCTTGGCAAATGAGATGACCAAAAATTTCCCCATTCCATGTTGACAACCTAATTTCATTTGATACCATCAAAGTATTGGTCGGAAAAAAAATTTAAAAAAAAAAATGTGCAACATCGATAAGTATTTCTTAATGACATTCTGGAAGCCATACCATTCTTCCCGTGGTTGCAAGAAGACCTTGGCATTTAATGATTGCATCTGTACGCTCCAAATAACAGGCATTAGTGCCTGTTCCGAATATTACAGCAACTACTGTGTCTTCATCATGATAATGACCTAAAGCCAAGGTCCCCACAGTATCATTTATCTGGTTAAACAAGAAAAGAAATGTGACTGCAAGTACTGCAACCCATATAATAGCTCCAGAGACAAATGCAGTTGGAGAAGACAGTATCAACTATTTGACGAACAGTAAACTTTATTCATGTATTAGTAACCACAATAAACAGAGAAATTTTTAACAGCCCGAATAAACACAAAAGAAACAAGTATGGCCAGCATAACAAAGGAAATCATGAAAATTTAGCAACTTAAACAAAATGGTAAGCTTGCTAGCATTAGTCAGTAGTATATCGAGCTCATGGACTCAGTTCTTTCCCTCAGAGAACAGATAAGAGGGCATAGAAATGGTATACAAAGTAATGTTAAATATTCAATAATAGATGCTTGAAACAATACTAAGATAATGAGACACTTCTAATATAAATCACAAATATTGGCAGCTACACTAGTAAAGAACATTACGTACTGTTCTCACAAACCGCTCACAAGTCTATTAAGAATCGAGCAGACTATTTGCTCTTCATCCAACAGGACGTATTTCATAAACTTCATTACATAATTGAGATGTCAAAAATAAAATTAAGAGAAGCAATGATGATTGTATATAATGAAAAACAAATAAAAAAAATGTGGTATGTGGGATAGAAACAAAGTTCTTACAAGGGAAACCACTTGCATATTCAGGCCCTTCCGATATATTGCCTCCTGGAGGCACTGAGCAACATCCCTACCAACCTGAAATAAACACTGTAGTCCATTACTTAGACGCCTTCACCCACCACAATGACACTAATGCATCATTATATCAATTAATAAAGATATCTTAACAAAATTAAACTTTTCTTGTCTTTATTACTGTGACTTCTGAAAAAAATATGTAAATACAAAGTATGTATTCATATGCAGATTCAATGGGAGCAAAGAAAGTCAAGAAAAGCAAATCATCGGATGACTTGAAAAGAGCAAGAGGAAAAAGAGGAAAAAAATAAAAAACTAACCATGTCATCGATAGAGAATCCATTCGTCAATTTGACTAAAGTTCCTGATGATGAAGAAGTTTGTTTCACTGGGAATGAAAATGTGAAGCCAAGTCTATTTGTTTCCCCTTGTGAAGGCTCTGAAGCATTTTCTTCTCTTTCAACAAAATCCTTCAATGATGTTGCTATATAATCAAAAAGCTCCTGGAAACGGAAATATAATGAAATATAAATCAATTAATTTTTGAGTCCAGGAAGTGCCACATCTGAGAAGCCAAAATGCACAAGAATCAGCTACCTCACTTGTGCCGGTCATCAAATGTTGGGGAATGGGTTGTCGTTCGACATCATGAATTATGGTAGCTGAACTTTGGCCACCTAACTTTACTCGCAAGACCCGAAAATGGGTACCGCCGAGATCTAGAGCATAATAAATCCCCTTTTCGGTCCTGGAACAGCATGTTTGCTACAATCAGTAAAGAGATACTACTTGGAATCTGATAAAGAATCCAAAAGTCTCGCGACATTGAACAAAAATTTGAAAACATAAAAGAATAAGCAACACAGATATGGAAAATGATCATGAATTACAAGTCCAGAATCTCAAAGCATTGACACAATCATGGTTACCAGCTGTATCATAGGAATCCAGGTATATCATAACAACTCATAGCAACACATTTGATCTATGAAAAAAAATGATCTCGTGAAGGTTAAAAAATAAACAGATAAACAATACATAAAAATCGCAAGATTGTACATTTAAATCTTAAAAGAGAGTAACAAGTTGTGGTAATCGGATAACTATATATCATGTCACGGCCGAGTATCTAATCAATCAAGAAGATGATATTGTTCGCTACTAAAAACACACAGAAACTCGAGACAGCAATTCAAAAGAAGATAACACCAAATTTGACAAGTATTCATATATAAAATGTAGACTAAGCAACATGTAATCTTGATATTGATTATCTAAAGTTATAATGAACGCATAGAAGGAAGGTGGCAAGGCCGGAAAACACAACAAATATTATCATTAATAATGCGACACCTCCTTTTTGGCAATTGAAGAAAAAAAAAGAAAAAAGAAAAAAAACACGCCAATTACACCAAGGCGGTAAATTAATGAAATACCTAATTACCAAAGAAACTTTCAACAAAAAACACCCCATTGCATGCTGTCACATCAATCGAATCCCACCTATGAAATGTCGTGGAGCCAGAACATAATTCTCAACTCATATACAATTTCAACACTAGTAGCAACTCATTAAAAGCAAAACAGAGAGAAGGGCCAAGAAATCACTGGGTAAACAAATGCAGTCGACAAAGAAAAGAAAGATTAACATTTACACGCAGCGAAATTGTGAATGTCGACACCAGAAAACACAAAATCGTCATCAATTATGCAAACTGAACCCACACACCATTGCCCAAAACAACATTTGTAAATGAAGTTGTCATAGCCATTTAACTAACCCATATAAGCAATTCAACCTCAAACTACACAAATACATATAATTGAAACTTCATCCACCCATTCCTAAATATCAATCAAATGAATGCCACCAATGAAACCACATTCACCTCCCAACTGTTGCACATATAAGTACAAACTTGGAGTAAAACCAACCACAAGTCAATTATAACATACATGCAATAGATGTTGGCCCACTCTCTCTCTCTCTCTCTCTCTCTCTCTCTCACACACAGACACACACACACATCTGAATCACTAAGGCCTTACCCAGTAGGGAGGTCGCAGATATAGGTGAGGAGCATCTTCAGCTTTGACCCGCCTTCGGAGGCCAAACCCGCGTGCATCTCAACCGCCATAGCATCAACAACCTGGCGCAGCCGCCCCACAGGAGTGGCGCATCCCTCCTCCAGCTCCTCCAAAACCCTCAGGGCCCTCTTCCATCCCCTCCTCCGCCTCACCCTCCTCCCAACCATCACCGCCGCCACCACGCACGCCGCCGCCGTGCATCCCGCCGCCAATGCTACCTCTACTTTCCCCATAAACGACGCCCTTTACTTCTACCTATCGCTTCTTTTCCAGAGTTTGGGGAATCAAAATATCAATCAAACCGTCTCCGGCAGAAACCAAACCCAAAGGATTTTGTTTCCGGCGATCAATACGAACGCGGCGAATTACCGAACACAGGCCGGCAGACCTAATAGGACGGCGCGTCGATTTAGAAGTAATGGGGACTGAAAACGGCGGCCGGATGTCATCAAACGGTGTCGTCCTGTCGTTCTTCCTCTCCTTTTAAAGTTGTTCCATAAACGAAGCAGAGTTTTTCCAAGGAAAGAGTAGAGAGAGAGGGTGCAATGGAGAGAGAAAAACTTGGAAAGTGATGTGTTGGATACTTTATAAGGGGAGACCACAAGACGAATTTGACCCTAAGAAATGAGGGAATGCCTGATTTGTCTTGCTTTTCCGGTATAGCGAGGTGGATTCTGCTTTGACCACTTGGAAAATTGAGAACATTTCAATTTACAGAAAAAGTCGCCAACTCGTTAAATGACCGTCTTGCCACCAGCTTTGATTTTGATTTTTTTTTTTTTTTTTTTGGTACAAGGAAGGAGGTCGACGACCTATGGTAGCACTTGTCGGGGGTATGACACTCCAATATTGTCATGCTCAAGCCAAGCACCTAATCCAGTAGGAGATGAAGAGACTCGATGCAGTCCAGTCGGGTAGAGGGCTGCCAAACTCGCCATATGGTTCGCTGCAAAATTCGCTTCTCTGTGGACATGTTGAATTCTAACTTCCCATCCCCTCTGTAATACCTCGTGAATGGCCTTAACCATCGCTTCATGAGCTCCAAGACCGCCTCCCGAGCTAGACACCATTTGTAAAACGCATTGGCTATCAATCTCCACAACAACTCTCCGATATCCCAAATCCAACGCCAAAAGAAGCCCGTGAAAGAGTCCCCAAACTCGGCTCCCGTAATAGTACATGATCCCATATTCAATAGAAAACCCTCGATCCACCGCCCCATCTCATCTCGAATCAGCCCGCCCGCACTACTTAACCCCGTTTGGCTGTCAAAAGCACCGTCAGTGTTCATTTTAATCCAACCCGAGGCAGGGGGAGACCACTGAATCATGCGGGTGACGTACGTGGCAGCCCCGACCTTCATGTAGACTGCCGCGGCTTTTGCATAGTTGTCCAGCATGCTCTCGATTTCCGTTTTCCGGGCCACACAACTCAGGTATTTTTGCTTAAATATCTGTTCATTCCGCCACGTCCACATTCTCCACACCGCAATCGCAAATAAACTATTCCAATTCTCCCTCACTCCCATCCGCATCTTCTGAAGATTCGAGCTAAGCCAGGTTTTAAGTGGCAGTTGGAAGAAGCCGCTGTCCGGTCCAGTCGGTAGCAACATTTTCCAGACGGGTTTAATACTCGGACAATCCCTCAATACGTGGAGGTCGACTCTTCATTACCACACACTTCACACGTCCCGGAGACTGAGATATGACGTCGTACTCGCTCGGCGTTGGTTAGAAGCCGGTCGTTTGCGGCAAGCCACAAGAAGGTCCGAGCCTTTTGCGGTGCAGGAGCACGCCAAATTAGCCGCCATAAAGGACGGTCTTGAGCTCTCGCGACTGACGAAACATCTTGATAGGCGGTGCGCGTGGAGAAACGTCCATCATCAGATAGGCCCCATATAATCCGATCATCGTCGGCCGTTGCTTTCGGGGGGAGGGTGGCCGCTATGCGAAGAATAACGGATGAGGGTAGAATGCCGTGGACCCTTCCCACTTCCAGTTGCCATCAACGTCCACATGGTCGGCTACCGACGAAGACACGTTTACTATCATATCTTTGTTACGAACGTACCTAAGCAGTGGCCCGTCCGTGCCTAGCCACTTATCAAGCCAGAATCGGGCCCGTAGCCCGTTTCCCAAGACCCAACGCACCCCGTTCGCTACTCGGGGCCAAACCGTGCGGATAGCTCGGATTAAAGTCGAGCCCTGCTGCACCCGAGCTGAATTCAAATTATCAGAAAAATTCAAGGCATATTTTTCCTTTAGAACTCGTACCCACAGGTCATCTGGTTTAGTCAATAACCCTTACCCCAGTTTCATGAGCAGAGCGTTGTTCATACGACGGAGATCTTTCACTCCCAGACCCCCCTCATCTTTCGGTTTACATACGTCCCTCCAGGCAACCAAATGTACCTTCTTCTGTTCATTAGTCCCTCCCCACACGAATGCACGACTTCGCTTTTTCGAGCCCGTCAGTCACAACACACGGTAGCATCGCAGTCTGCATTGTATAGTAAGGTAGCGTATTCAAAACGGACTGCGTGAGGGTCACCCGGCCGGCCAAAGACAATGATTTCATTATCCATCCTGCTAGACGCGACTCTGTCTTCTCCAAAATATGATTGTACGTTGCTCTGGATACACGACCAATAATTGGCACTCCTAGATATTTTCCCAAGTTGTCCGTCAGTTTGAAGTTTAGTACCGTCGCCAGATGAATCTGCTCCTGATCTTCCACATTATTAGAGAAGAAGACTTGGATCTTCTCCGCACTCACCTTCAATCCCGATCTAGAACAAAACCTGTCCAGGACTTGCTTTAGGACTGTAGCCTGGCCGTCCGAAGCCTCCAAAAAGAGAAGTAAGTCGTCTGCGAACACCAAAAAAGGTACTTTGACGGCCCCTCTACCCACTGAAATTGGGTGCCGGTCGAGATGCTCAACCGACTCAACGATCCTCTGTGCTAGTCTTTCCATGCAAAGGACAAAGAGATAAGGAGACATCAGGTCTCCCTGTCTGACTCCTCTCGTGGGCCTAAACTCCTCCCCAATCGTCATATTCCACAACACATTCATTGAGGCCGATCTAACACACGCCATGACCGCCTTAACGAATTTGTCAGGATAACCGGCCAACCTCATGGTTTTTTCGATAAAATCCCACCGAAGGTAGTCATATGCCTTTTCTAAGTCAACCTTAATGACAATGAAGCCATTCGGGCCGCGTTTTCCATGCATAGTGTGGATGAGCTCTTGGGCTACAATGATATTATCCGTGATATGTCGGCCCGGGATAAAACTGGCTTGGGCTGGATGGACCAAGCCCGGTAGTGTACCCTTCATACGGTTCACCAAAACTTTAGTGAACAGTTTATATATAACATTAAGTAGACTAATAGGCCGGAACTGCTTTAGAGTGGTTGGATATTCAATTTTAGGGATGAGTACAAGCAGGGTTCGATTCACCTGGTCTGGAACGACACCATCGGTCCACATTTGTCTAAGAAACTCCCGAACCGTGGGCCTGACAATCTTCCAATTCTGTTGAAAGAAAAGAGCGTTCAACCCGTCCATTCCTGGAGCTTTCAATGGCCCATAGTGTTCAGGGCTGAAGAAATTTCCTCATCTGAAATAGTTGCGGTCATGGTCACCACGGCAGTGTCGTCGCGGGCTTGGAAAAGGTTGGCCACATTCCCGTCCATCACGGGGGTCGGCCTTGCAGTATAGATGGTCTTGAAGAACTCCGTAGCTAGATTACGAAGAGTCGCCTCATCCGTGACCTGGTGCCCATTAGTATCCATCAACTCGGTTATCTTGCCACGTCGTCTTCGGTATTTAAGTTGCCGGTGGTAGTATGACGTATTTCTGTCCCCCAAATAGGACCAGTCCCTGGTAGCCTTTTGTATCATTAGCATTTCCTCTTGCATAATGACCTCCTCAAGTTCTGCATGGAGTTGTTCCTCAAGCCCGGCCAATCGGCCGTTAAAGTAGAATTGCCGGCTCCGCTGAATTCCGCCTAGTCGGGCCAGTAGTTTTTTCTTCCGCCGAAATATGTTGCCAAATACCTGGGCATTCCACTCTTTGGCTTTCTCAGTAAAAGTCGCCGCTGCCTCCTCAAAGCGGAGTGAAGGGTGCCACGTCTCTTCTAGTAATCCCTTAAAGTCGGGATGGGTAAGCCATGCTGCTAAGAAACTTCAGGCCACGTGGTGGGGGACTAGTCCGACCGAGTCCCAACATAAGAGGCGAGTGGTCTGATTGAACCCTCGGAAGGAGCCAGGCCCGACTCATATCAAATTTTTCCACCCAAGGTATATTAGCAACGAATCTGTCTAGTTTTTCGGCCACCCTCCCCTGTCGAGTTTCGCGGACCCAGGTGAAGAGATGTCCATCCGTTGCTACCTCCTGTAGGCTATGATTGAAGATCCACTCCACAAAATCCTGGCTTATATTACAATGTCTTGAAGCCCCTCCGGTTTTCTCAGACCTCCAAAGGAGGCAATTAAAATCTCCTCCAATTAGCCAAGGCTGTAATATTCCAGTCGCCAGTCTTTCCAGGTCAGCCCACATACTCCTGCGTCCCGCCACATTTGGGCTAGCGTAAATAAACGTCACCAGACTTTCCACGTCATTTTTGGTAGCCCGAACATGGACTAGTTGGCGTGAGTAATAAAGCACTTCAAGCTGGACCTCATCCTTCCACAAAATCCAGATTCCCCCCGAGAATCCTTGAGCTTCAAGTCGAAATGAGTTCTCGAATTTGCTATAACTCACAAAATTATCGGCAATCACCCCACTAATACGCGGTTCAAAAAGGGCCACTATATTTGGTTTATAGTGTTGGGTAAGGGTTGAGAAAGTTCCCCGAAATTCAGGCGAACCCGCACCCTGAACGTTCCAGATGATAATATTCATGAGGAAACAATGAAAAAATAGAAACCACGCTCTCGTTAATCAAGGCTCTGGACATGCATGTCCGAACTTTCATCCAAGCACATACGTTCTCCGGGACTACCACTTACTACCGATTAGGAGTGTGGATCCTCCGGCCACGGCTCCTGTCTTCTGGTGTTTTGTTCCCCCTCCGTCATAAGTGAGTCACTGGAAGGGTCCACAACGGTACTTTCAGGAGGTGTTCTGCTAGGGTTGGGGCGAGTGTCCTCCGTAACTACAATTGCTTTGTGTTTGCTCGGGTCTAGTCCAGCACCGACTGGGATGGTGCATGCACGAGTCAGAATTGTAACCGGTTCTTTAGGCCCTTTGTTGTTCTCAGTCACCCTGTTAACATTATCGATCCCAGGCCCACATTTCTGGACCTCTTCCCGCACCTGCTCCATATTGCCCTTATTTTCAGTATTCATTCTTCGCCCTGTATGTGCGGTCGAGGTCTTACTGCTCATTTTAGCCTTTTCACGGGTCTTCCTTTGGCCTGAGCGTGACGCCATTCCCGCTCTCCCATCTCACTTGCATTAGGGGTGGGTGCTACATTCGCCTCTACAGTCTTTTTTGTTGATGCAGCACCGAATTCAAAAGAGATATTTGTGTCCCTCAGCCCCTCCTTACCCAACAGCTCAAAACGAGATCCCATCCCTACTGACGAGCGTGTATTCTTACTGAGTGGTCCTTTATCAGATCCCTTATCGCGCTTATTGTACGTCTGCCGTTGACGTTGCGGTACCTGGATCCACGGGCCATAGGCCTGCTCCTCGTTTCCGCCCCTGGTCTTTGTCTTGCTCCCAGAACAGCCTTCTCCGTCATGGCCGCTCCGTGTATTTCCAGCCGATTGACTCCCCTTATGGCTCTCCTTCTCTTGGGGATGCGGGTGGTAGAGGCAACTATGACTCGAGTGGCCAATCCTTCCGCATTGAAACAGATAGTAGGCAAATTTTCATAAACCACCCTCTGTGCTTTCCCATTGATGTTGAAGTTCACACACAGCGGCTTAGTTAGGTCAACCATTACCGCAAGTCGAGCATATTTCCCTCGGGTGAGGTCTGCAGTCTGTTGATCAATTTTAACCACTTTGCCCACAATTCGACCTATCATACGAAAGACTTTTTGGTGGTATAAATGAGCCGGCATCCCGGGCAGCCTGATCCATGCTATCATAGATGTTAATTCCTCATTTGTCGCATCGAAATCAAGGGTCCATGGCTGCACGTGCATATAACTGTTGCCAATGACATAAGGTCCTCCCGTAAGAACCTTGATTGTCTCATCTTGGTTATGGAAGTGGATTAGGTAGTACCCATTTTCGAGGTCCATCATGTTACACCCCGCCATAAAAGGCCACATCTTGATTAGACGATTGTACAGTGAGGCCATAGTGAGCGACTCATCAAACGGCTTAAGCACTACCGCATTCTTCCACTCTTTATTATTTGATCAAAGAATCGCTGCGCAATCTTGACTTCCGGCAGTGGGCAATCGAGATCCACTGATACATCATCGTCCATCACAGTATCCTTACCGGCATCGTCATATTGCACATCCACATGATTCCTTTGCTTGTTAAGCATATCACGAAACGTCCATCTAGGAGCCTGTAGAGCAGTAGCTTTTTCAGTGGTTGAATCTTGGTTCGTGGGGGGCTATCGTTCCAATGATTCACCGGGTCGCTTAAGGGTTTTATGTCGTTTGGATGCCAAAATTTCGTCGCGATTCAGTACCGGAAACTCAGTATCCTGTTGGTGGGTATCGCCGGGGTCGAAGGTCGCTGTGCCATCGGTGATCGGGGCGAGCGGATCGGGTGGGTTTCCGTTCATTAGGGTTTTTCCGTTCAAACGTAAATACGTTGCTTTGATTTTGATTTTGAAAGGCGTGGTTTGATTAATTTGACCAATGTTGATGTTGACCTTTCCTTAATAATAGCAACGAAAGTGGCAAAGGTTTTGTTCGGTCTTTTCAATTTAGATTTTTTTGTAAGGTACATGAAAATAACCAAATTATACACGCGAAAAAATGACACTCGATAGAGATGTGGTGTGGAGGAGAAAAATAATTTTTACATATTAGCAAACGATCACCCCTCGTGATTGGTGCTTGTCCTTAACCATTTTGTGTGATTTTTGTAAAGGTGAATTTGTAAGATTGAAAACAATTTCAATATATAGGTGTGGTGATGTGTGTGTTCAAAAGGTTCCTAGTAAGTTTTTCCAAGACTAATAAGTCAACGTACGTGATGTACTTTTCTTGTCACGGACCGATTTTATGTGGAATGGCATCAAATTCTCATATTTATTGTTGCATTACATTAGTTCTGGCTGAAAAATCCAAAAGTGAGGAGGGTATGTTGAGAATGTTTCACATATTGATTAC